GCTGGGCTGCTGGGAGCTGCTGCTGGACCACAGGCGTGGGGGGCGGCACTGGGGCTTTGGCTGCAGCCTCGCTCTGGCTGCTCTCCTGGCTCGCTGCGGCCGGGGCAGCATCCTGGATTATCTTCTTAGCCACAGGAGTGCTGCTGGAGGCCGATGTCTCCTGCTCAGCCTGAGGCAGTGGCACTTGAGGTGCTTCCTTTTTGTCACTTTTTTCGGACTTGGTGGGTTTTTCGCTGGATGTCTTTTCTCCTTCTTTCTCTTTTCTTTGCTCACGCTCTTCTCTCTGTTCACGCTCCTCCTTCATGTCTCTAAGCACAGGTTTTTTAATAGGACCTGATCTTCTCACTGGTCTATCGCCACCGTCATCTCTCCTGCCATACCCTGGCCTAGGACCCCACCTTGTTTCAGACTTAGGTTTGAAAGTTTTTTCAGGTTTTGGTCCTTCTGATGTTCTATTATTGATCAGAATTTCTTTTTTCGGTTTAATCTCAAGTCTCTCAATTGTCTCCTTTGTCTCTACAGGCCTTGTATTTAATTTAGGGATATTTGCTGCTGTTTCATTCCTCTGGTCTTCTGATTTTAGAGAGTGACTTGAACCATGGGAAATGCTTCTCTTTAGAGAAGAGTGACTTTCCCCCACAGGCACCAGATCTGGAGAGCTACGTGTAACTTTCTCATTCACTCCATCAAAATTTACTGCTGTGTTAGATGTGTCAGTTTGGAGAGGCTGTACATCTTCCAAAGGCCTGCTTGGGAACTTCTGTACCTCTACCTCTCCTGATTCTCTGAAAAATTCGGTCTTTGGGTGCGAGTCCAACTGGTTGTGTTCTACAGGATAAGCACTAGCAGGGACAGCAACTCGTTCTTGCTCCAAGCGTGCCTCAGACCTAAGCAGAAAGCAATTAAGAATGTTAGCGCATACAGGGAAGAATTTTACTTCCACATATTCACTCAAATCAAATTATTTTCTATTAAGGATTAATGTCAGCTCCAGGAAATAATAGATAAGGATTTTAATGAAGCACCCAAGTACTACTCAGACAGCAGTAGAGCAAAGAGAATTTGGGAGTACTTCTAAGATGTAGAGGAAGAGCTTTCCTGAGCTTTCATCATGCAGCAAAGGACAAAAGCGACTGCTTTACACCACTGGTACTTAATATGCCACTTCTGAAATGAATCTACATCACACAAGTTCTCTAATATGGGTAGAATGGAGAGCAGATGCAGAACAGGGTAACACTGCAGGAGTGTTCCACAAAACCAAGCGTTTAAAATGTTTTGGCAATCACCATCTATCAAATTAGGTTAAGGCCCCTAAACAAAGGCTAAATTGTCTTTTTACACCCTGTTACAAAGCATTTTGTTTTCTACAACAGCACCAAGTATGCTGCACCCCCCAGTCACAAGTCCCTTCAAAGTTTTGTGTAAAGAGCAGCTGCAACTCAGTTCGAACTGCATTTTTCAACTTCAGTTACACAGCCAAGTGTGTAAGTACGAATGACTCGGAGAGGTAACATGCAGTGGCACTAACTCAGGCTTACCTCAAATCATCAGGCTCTTCCAACACTTTGGGAGGAGAAGCAGATTGCTGAGACTCTGTGTGTGGGTAGGGGTCTGAGCCCCACATCATGCGGGGCTCGGACAGAGGCACAGAGTGCTCTCGTGCTGAGCGAGCCATGTGCTCAAACGAATCTGAACCAGCTGCTGACCCCTCCATCTGCTCTCTTCTCATCAGTGGTTTGGGAGGCATAATTCCTGTGACAGAGTTAAGTTCAGCAATTGAAATAAGTTTAACATTAGCAAAGAAAACCATCTCAAGACAAAAAGCATATCAGGAGATACTATGGAATGCTATTCTCTCTCCTCCAGCCTCCTTTCCTCTGACCCTCCGTTGTTGAAACCAAATGTCTATTCACTGCCAGGTGACCTCAGAATGACTAAATCATACTCACCACTAGTACCCTACACAGCAACAAAAGGAAAAAGCTGTTTGTTTCCATCATTATGAGAACAACCAGGTCTGTAGACCTGCAAACTTGTGGATGAAGTTTCTGCTGTAAGATGTGAATGGCCAAAGGCAAGATGAGTGTACACACAGGTGTGGTTTTGTACTCTTTTAAGGACTCCTCTTTTTTTTTGTGTAGTAGTTTTCACTGGTTTTGCCTAACCAGCCATTTCCTCTGTTCATTCCCTGCACTCACTGAGGATACTTATTCCCTTGCTCAATTACTTGGGCAGGTATCTCTGTTACATTTACATGATGGACTTCTATTATTTATGGCAAACAGCTTTCCTAACTGCAAGTTAGATGGCCATTCCACAAATTAAAAAGTAGTTTTTAGAGCCAATAATCTGAAACCACATATTAAGACTCTGGAGTTGCTAATATGTAACACAAAAATAGCAAAACTCCATGGCTTTTTTTTAGGAAGCAATGCAGTGCCAAGGGCTAACATGTAACACAGTAAATATACTGTTTTCCTCAGTTCAACCTCACTCCTGCCAGCTTTACTACCTGTAACAATGTAAGGCTTATGCTGACATTCTGAATCATCTTAACTGTCACCAACATGCCTGCAGCGTGATAGCTGTGATTTTCCTTCATACATTCACATAGGTCTATAATCTTTTCAGTCACATATGACTAAAATCTAAACAATAAAACAACGTGGGTTTCTTTTTAACACTCCACTCATTCACTGAACAGTATGGTTAGGGAACTTATGTCAAAGTAAACTCAACAGTCAAAAAATGCTTCTGGATTTTACCTGGATGAATAGGAGGCATATCCATTGCAGGTCTTCCTGACATCATTCGTGGGTCCATGTAAGACTGCATCATAAGCCACCGCGGGTCAAAGCCCATGGAAGCCAAATGCTGAGGATGTGGCTGCATGGGCTGGTAGAGGGGTCTGTGCTGGGGAGGGGGCACAGGAACTCAACAGTCAAAAAATGCTTCTGGATTTTACCTGGATGAATAGGAGGCATATCCATTGCAGGTCTTCCTGACATCATTCGTGGGTCCATGTAAGACTGCATCATAAGCCACCGCGGGTCAAAGCCCATGGAAGCCAAATGCTGAGGATGTGGCTGCATGGGCTGGTAGAGGGGTCTGTGCTGGGGAGGGGGCACAGGGCCACTGGAAGGCTGGGAGGGAGCAGACTGGGGAAGGACACCTTGCTGCTGTTGTTGCCATTGCTGCTGTTTCATTTGCTCCTGCATAACAGAGAACAGTTACAGGACTTTTTGTTAAGATGAAGACTTGAGCAGAACTCAAATAACTCTTAGAAACAACAAGTACAATTATCTCCAGAACACTAAGCATTCTGAAATTAATGGTAAACATGCATCAGAATGAACCAGAACAGGGAGAAAACCAGACTGGGCAATTCAGAATAGCCACAGCTTTGCTGGTGTCCAGCTGAGACACAGAACAACCTATACTTCTGGCATGTCATTAATGCAAAATGCTCTTCAGACCACAGGACTCAAGTTTCAATCCCATTTTTGAGTGTCACAAAGCTGCAGAGATATTAATCGATCATCAGACTGCAGGTTCCATAGGCAACCACAGGGCAATGCCAGTGTGGGCCAGTTTTAAAGCCTCTCTTGTCTCCTGCTCACTGATATAAGTTGCAAGGGATATGAAGTGTTTCACACAGAGCAATTCCTGTCAACACCATGGATGCTATAGAAGCTGGAAACCAACAACTTAGGCCTTTTGAAACTCCTCTGGTCATGTTCTTATTCAGAATGGAGCAGAAGACATTCTTTAAATGAGCTTCCTTCTTACATGAACTGGTTCATTACCTGCTGCCTCTGAAATCTTGGTGGTAAAGATTTCTGGAACTGCTTAGAATAGCCTGAGGAAACAGCAGGACGAGGCTGAGTTCCTGAATCTGGTTCACTCTCATGGGTCACCTGTGAAATCTCCTTCTCATTCCGACCACTGTCTTGTCGAGTAAAGACTGGTTGGTCTTCTGAAAAAAACAACAGAAAACCCACACGTGGGAGATGAGTCAATCTCAATACTGTAACAATTTCACCAAATGTCAGATAAAGAATGCTGTTGCAAAATGTCTGCCTGCTTGTACTTTACAGTCTTTGTTTCCAACTCTAACAAAGGCAAAGAAAAGGTAAGAACAAACCCTCAAAACAGAACTGTTGTTAATAAATCTGTCCCTTTAAAACTCAAATACACTGGGTAATCAACCACTGACATTTAGGCTGGAACTATTACATGATTTAAGAAGTGCTGTACCAGTGACACCACACTGCATTTGAATCAACTTTTTTAAGGAACCAAGGTTTGCTTTGGCACTTGGTGTTATCCATTTGAAAGATAACACAACACAACCTTACTATGCACAGTCTAACAGTTCTCTTGTTCATGCAAGTCTTGCTGCAAAAAAACACACCAAGTTTAAATACATGCCCTTGGTGTCTACTTCTCTAGGCTTGCTGAAATAACTTGCATTGCCTTTTCAGCCACATGGGTGGCTGACCCTACTTCAGGAAGAGGAGATAGCCTGCTTTTCTTGCTATATTCTTCGAAGTCCAGCCTAAGGTCACAGAACCCAGTCTGTTCCTTAATGTTCTGATGAGCTGGGCAAACAGGTCTAGCTCAAAGGACAGTTATCAGCCACAATGTGCCAGGAAAATGAAAGCTCTAGATGCACTGGGCTCATTAGGTATGCAAATTAGACTTCTAGACTACAACCATGCCCTGTGACTCAGCTTTAAGACGGACAACTCCTACCTGTGTGCAAACATACCTTTTTCTTCCTTGTTATTCTTGGTTTCACTTTCTTGTTTTTCTACTACAGGTGTTGCCACAGGTTCTACAGGCTCAGGAACCTCATGTGCTGGTTTCTCCTCTTCTTTCTCTTTGTCATTCTCCTTCTCTTCTTTCTCCACCTCTTTTTCTTTTTCTTTCTCCACTTCTTGTTCTTTTGCCTTCTCCAGTTTTTCTTTTTCTTCTTTTTCCTTTTCCTTCTCCCTTTCCCTCTCTTTTTCCTTTTCCTTCTCCCTCTCTTTTTCTCGCTCCCTCTCCCGCTCCCTCTCTTTTTCCCTCTCCCGTTCCCTTTCCCTCTCTCTTTCTCTTTCCCGTTCTCGCTCCCTTTCTCTCTCTTTCAGAGGGTCTTCTCGGGAGGGTTTTGTCATGCAGCCAAATTTCTCATTTAACCGTTTCAGCTTTTCAGCACAAGCTGCTTTTCGCTGCTCCTCCATTCTCCTTTCCTCCTCTTCTCGCCGCTTACGGGCTCGCTCGACTGCGGCTGATATCTCTGACTGTTGTCTTCTTCTCTGCTTCCAAATTTCATCTTCATCTGGGACTGGTTTAGGGGGAAAGGGTCCCTGCCTTCCAGGTCCCACCTGGCGATCAGGGGGAGGAGGGTGCTGCAAGGTAAAGATGAATGAAGTTGAACATATGCTATATGAACAACCCGCTGTAACATTACTTGTTAACTATGTGCCAACACATGTAATCTGCATAAGAGCTTTACAAAGCAAAACGTGGATGAAAAAGCAAGCCCCCACCTTCCTGATCCAGTTCAGACTCTCACAACCTAAGCTCAGAAAGGAGGGGTAAAGATTCAGGTTGAGCTCATGTCGCCCCTCCTTCCCCATCACCAACGCAAAGTGACAGGAAAGATGACAAATGTCTCTTAGATTTGGTTACAGGCTGCTCTAAATCTCAGAGACTCAGGGCAGATCTCAGGCAAAAGGCCCCCAAGGAGCCAAAGAATTTCAAGGTAGCTGAGGATAACAGATTTTAGTTCATATTTCATTTGGGACTTCATCTCTGGATCTGTCCTGGCAGCCAGCCCTCCAGGACTGTTCCCTGCTCCTGTCCTCTCTAGTTCCCACATGGGGCTGGATAACAAAACGCTCCTGAAATTCTTGTGTGTTTCTCAGGCCACTTACAAAGATGGGACTGCTTTACACAATTAGCAGCATGGCTGTGTTGAGGTCCCATTCCCACTGGCCCCAGACACTACAATCATTTTATTTGTTAAGGAAAAGCTTTATTGCTATGCGAAGCATATTTTCACTTTTTCTAGTCTAAATCCCTCCAATACAGCATTAAAGAATTTAACTCAAGGAAATAAGGACAACTCCAATCTTTCTTACCGGTGGTAGAATAGATTTGGGATGAAGAGCAGGACCACCTCTTTCATGTATAGAAGGCTGTGGTGGACCTCGATCCTGTTGGATCAAACACAGTTCCAGGGTTAAGCAAGATTATAACAACAGCCAAGAGGACAAATTTTAGGCTGTTTTCTACTGAACTGTTTTCCTCAGATTCAATGTAGCATCAAACCCCCCAAAACAATGTGATCTTTCTCTCTACAGTAAGTGCAAGTAAAACCAACCCCAAATCCTCCATCTTCATTATTACTGGTGTCAAGAGAAAATATTCTGGGAAATGTTCAGACAAAGCCAACAGTAGCTTTTCCTGGGAAAAAATAAAATTTAAAATAATAAAATCAGGGCTGAAGCAGGCATAAGCTGAGATGGTTGCCAATTCACCTCCACTAGAGAAAACCAAAAAGCTGATGAATTCTATGTGGTCTGTAGAAAATCTACTGGGCTGAGAGGGGAGAAGTGAGCTCACATTACAGTTAAGCTGCAGTGCAGTAAGTGTGCCATGACACCAAAACCCCCGCGCCCATGTAAAACGTGAGGGCTATTTACCCTGTGCCACTGGAAAACATAAACACCAGAATGCTTCATTCAGTTACAGGGATGGACACACAGGAGTAGAGTTAAAGCTCATCAGCTGAGCCACAGTAACTGACACAAGAGCTCTCACCCCCTCACAACTGTGGCTCAGAACACACTAGATGAAGACATTCTATTTTTATTTTGCGACCAGAGGCAGCTAAGTTGACTGAGCAGCACCTGATCAGTTACCACAGCTCAGATAATGCTTTCAGTAGCTAATGCTTTCACTCATGTTCATAACCTTAATTGACCTGACAGTTTGGAAAGACACCTGAGTCAGACCTCTCCTGATGAGGCTGTTGCCAGCAGAGCTGAAGAGAAGAGCACACAAACCTGCTCAGGCTGAGAGCTTTTGCCATAAGACCCTTTGGCTGCTGCTGTGGAAACCTGGGTGGCAGACTTAGCACTTGTCTGTTCTTCAGCTTCCTTCTGGCCATCAGGACTCTGGGAATCTTTCGATGGTGTTTGCTCATCACTGTGTGCAAAGAAGTGAAAAATGGAATGCATACTCCACACAGGTATTCAGTGATTTATCTTCCCAGCCTAAGTGTTTCTTAGCCTAAGCTGCTCACAGCAAGGATAACTTCCACTACACGCCCAGCTGACTGGAGTCTGCAGGCAGTTATGCAATTTAATACAATATTAAATTACTGGAATAAATGTTATTGGAATGACTACTTGCACTTCTTTCATTCCATCTTCCCAAAAGCTAGGCTAGTTAAGTGACATTTCACAACCAACTGGCAACACCAACTCACCCACTTTCCTTCTCTTTTTGACTACTTCCTTGCTCATCATCGTCGCTGAAGTTCAACTGCTCAGTGTAATCCACTTCACTCTGAGCACCTGATGCATAAACGAATATTCAATTAATCTTCCAGAAACATCCAATGTACAAGTAACAGGCTCTGAATCTGATGTTCTTACCTGCCCAGCCTTCATCAGCCTCAGCATCTAGATTATCGAATTTATCAAGCTCCTTGAGTTCGCTAGCACTCAGAATGGACGGGCGCTCGATAGGCTCTGAACACCACGACGGGGGACCTCTGCCCCTGGGGCCTCTGCAGGAGAGACAAACAAGGCCACTGTCACTATTTAGCCACAGATGACTAGATAAAAGGTCAACTTGTATGACAATTACTTGAAATAGAAAGTCCTGGTCTCTCAAACACAGTAAGCGTGAACTCTTGTCTGTATGTGACTACTGCGATTTGAGTAATTACTGCTACACCACCAGGTGGTTCTTTGTGAAAGGAAGCACTGGATGCTACAGCCTTGCTTGCACACTTCACAAAACCCAAACAAGAGTTGGCAGCAGAAAACCACATGCCTTGTACCTTTCAAACAACACACTGCATAGATCTGGCATCCTTATTAGTGCCAGTTTATGCACCTCAGAGGTATTCTTGATACTTTTCACACTTTCTCACTGACAAGGATTCTGTACCATCTCTCTACTCCTATCACAAGTTCTCCCATTCATCCCTCTGAGCCTTTCCATCCTCTTCCTGATCCCAACCACAGATCACCTGACAGTTGGTACCCCACTGCCTACAGCATCCCCTATGTCCTCTTGCATATGCACAGCCATCCTCAACTACAGAGAAAAGCACAGAAAGGTGGAAAACTAATTTTATAATGCATTAGAGCCTTACTTTAATTGGAAAGCATTAGAGTTGAGAACCAGGAATTAATTACTTTCACTATAGCAATGGAAGAGTTGCTTCACAGGCAAAATACTGGTTAAAGTTTCAAAGACGTCCCCAGGCGACCCCTGCTTTCCCCAGTCAAAAACCACATAATGTGCAGAATTCCCTCAGGGTTTGCAGTCTTCAAGCACAAATCAACAAATCAAGCACTGTGCCACACAAGCCAAACTTGGGAAGAAGTGGCACTTCTTATGCACTGTATAATCATCATTGAGATACTCAGTGCAAATTTTTCTTTATTAATTAGGTCACAGACTTCATACCCACACAACAAACAACACTTGTAATGTTTCTTACCTGCTAGGCTCAGAATTGGGAAATCTTGTTGGACCTTGCATGGAAGGAGGATATGCCATTCTGGGATACTGACCAAACATCTAAAAAAGGTTTAGAAGCAAGAGCCATTCATTAAAAAGTATCAGTGCATTAAGAATACTGAGACCATCAAAGTAATCTCAATGGAAGCAGAGCAGGACCCTTCACTCAAGATGGGCTGCTGAATATCACAAGTATGTGACATCAAGTCACTGAGGTGGAGTGATTAGAAGTGTTAATCAACTCCTGATAAGTTCAGACTTGGTGTAGCAGGAGTAGCAACAGATAGCCACAGCTTCTGAGGCACTGGTTTCAATCCCACCCTTCTAGCAGAACTCCTAAGCATTCCATGAAGGGAAGAGAAAGGAGCATAGGGAAATCCCACTAGCCAATCAATAATCAATCCCTGCTGCTTCAACACTATTCCTGTAACCATGACTTACATAGGGTGGCATCATGGCTCTGTACTGAGATGAAATGGGTGGCTGCTGCTGGCCATTCAGCTTGGGCTGAGGGACCTGTGGCAACCGCACATCCCTCTTCTCTCCTGCCTTCTGGCCATCGCTTTGTTCTGCTGCTGTGGCATTCCCATCTTCTTGACCCGGAGCCTTAGCATCTTGATCTGTTGGAGAACAGGAGAGTTCTTATTATCCCCTTCCCTTCACCTAGTGCCATCTGCATGGACAGAATCAGTACAAGAACAACCAAGAATCGACTTCATACTACAGATCTGCAGGCAGGATGCTGAAAACCACATTCTTCCCAGGCACTTCTCAGTGACACAGCAACCTGTGCAGACACACAGACATATCTGGTCCTGAAACAAGCAATGGTCACTAGAAATGCTGGGGCTTGGACATCAGGCCAAAGCCAGAGTTCACTTATAGATGGATACTGACCATCTTGTAATTGCGCTAGTTGGGTAAACTGCGAATAATAAATATAGCTTTAGCAAACTCCTTACGCCAGGTGTTGTTAGAGATAAATAAGGTGTCTTAAAGACTGGTAACTTCCAGATGCCTGTGCCAAGGAAGCTCCAAGGCCATGAAGCTGCTTGCACTGTATTTTCGGAAATTTGGACTGGTAACTTTCACATGGTCTTGCGCCAAGGAAGCTGCAAGGCCATGCAGTTATCTGCAGAGTATTTTAGGAAACTCCTCCATCACGTCCTGGGCTCTGGCCAAGCCCTGGCCTTGGTGGTCAGAGGGGAGCACCACCAGATGTTTTCTGCATCAAACCGAAACAAATACAGGTAATTTTTAGCCTGCTGATTTGGCCCATAAAAACTGGACCCCCTTGCAGTGACTCTGGACACCTCAGCTACGAGTGGACGCACTGTGCAGGACTTCCCAACTGCTGGGAAAGGCTCTCCAAACCCTCACTGCACCCAGGGGCTCCCCAGCGACTGTGGGTCTGGGGGATGGGAAAGTATTGGGGCAATTAGTGATATATCTCTCTTAATCACTATTCCTTCTTGCATATGGTAATGATTAGGCGCATTACCTTTCACATTTCATTTACAGTCTGTGCTGCTTGAATCAGGGCATGGCAAGTTAACCATATAATGGCATTATTCTTTTTCATGTTTATTTTAAGCACCTATAGTAAAATAAACCTTTTCTTTTTGTTGGTATCTGTCATTCCTGTCACCCTGTCAATTGGCAGAACACCACCTGAGAAAACAGAAGCAGTTTCCTAATCCTCTTCAGCCCTAAATCCAGATGTGTTCCTGAAGGGTCAGAACTAAATTTATGGACTGCACTAGCTGTCCTACTCTACCTTCCAAAAGAGCATACAGTTTAGGAAGGATACTGATTACAGCACAGGAGAGAAAACAGATTTAGCTGTGCTAAGTGGGCCACTCTTGACTCAGTGTGAAGATGCTGTCAAGAGAAAGATCAAGCGTCGAAAGCAGCGAAGGCCTACCAGGAACCTCCCAAGCAGCTCGAAAAGAAAGATAACACACAGATGTATGTCAGAATGAATACAAATATCCAGAATCTGGCTTGTATCTCTTCTTGAAAAGGATGGAATAGAAGTGATGAGGGCTGTACTGCTGGGTGTGAATGTCCAGCAAAAAGTCCAGGAAAAATAAGAGATTTCAATGACCTGTCACTTGTGCCAGACAGCCTAATCTTTTAGGAGTTTCTGCCTACAGATCACGGGTTAGGACAGAAGAAAAACAGAGTAAACGTAGCAGCAATGCTCAAATCCATGGGACTAACAAAACTTCAGACACACAGAGTAAGTAATGTTCCTCCAGGGGCACAAACCCTTTAAGGAGTGATAAACTATGCTCCTAAGTATCCATTACAGCTCTTGCACTTATCTCTGCTGGGGAGCACAGCTGCTATAGGGGCAATACTCGCCAAGTTCATTTAGCTTTCTGCTGTCAGACATGAAAGAAGGGCTTAATATAGCATGTACAGTGCTGACCAAAACTGTAACTGCCTGCAGGAGGCTGGAACAGACACTCTGTTCTCCTCATTTGGTATTGGACATCCCTCAAATTCCCTGACAAATTATTCTTTATATCAAAATCAAATGAAGACCTAAACAGGCACATGCAGGACCTGACAAATAAACCAAGGAAAAACAAGGCCTGCAACACAGAAAGGAGACAAGGAATCCTTGAGAGCCAGGCTCTTTAAAAACAGTGCACATAGTGCTTATCACTGGAACAAGATAGTGCCACCCACACTGCAAGACAGGATCCCTAGGCATCAAACAAAAAACAAACTTCTGAGGGAGAAAGGAACCTCGTTTCCTCCCCCCCCAGTAACAAGCACAGTCCCAAGTGCCTCTTCATTAAAAGGATCTGTGGAAGCAATACACATTTTTCACAGAGAGATGTAAACCCAGCACTGTCATGGTGCTTGTCACATCTAATCTGCTACAGCTGAAACAGATCCAGCCACAGCACCACAGCCATGAGCTAAAGATGCCACCACTTTTCAAACCACAATCCACTCTTTTGCTATCCCGTAGATTAAACTTCCTATTCAAGATTTTTCAGGCTATTCTCTTATGAGTAAAAACCATTTGGGGACAGTCCTCATGATGATTTATATAATTAGTTAGTATTAGGAGAGCTCTTTAAATACCTATTTTAGCTGTTCTGACATCTAGCAGCTGTAGGTTAGACAACGCCAGTACTGAGCAACTAACAAATGTTCCTCAGAGCACAGAGGACTGACTGACTGGGAAAATGAAAAGTGATAGCATTAAACACCATATTTTTCATACCAGGAACTCAGGAAAGAAGAACAAAGCCCCAAATATCCCCATCTTCAGCACAGGAGTGTGTTGATTAAAACAATTTTTGTAGAGGGCACAAGTAACCTCTGAATGAGTTCCACATTCCCATGGCCAGGGCACACACACACACACCATGTCACAGATTTGTAGTATGCACTTACTTTGTGGCCGCAGGTTGGGTCCTGATCCATGGTCTTCAGGTGCATCTTTGTCTTTGCCTGACTTTTCCTGATCCCCAGCTGCCGGCAGACTGGGAAATTCTTGCTGGAAATAACTATTTACTGGGATAGGTGGACCTACAGAGCAAGATATTCACAGAGTCACCATTTTCTGCAGTCAGAACAGTTCAGAAAGCAACAGAAGCCTGATCATCCTTTGAAAGTGAACACTGAAGCCACGTTCATTTACTGGTAATACAATTTATGTAAGTCAAGAGCAATCCTTGTATAGTGTTCACATTTGCTAATGAAGTTGTTAAATTTACTAGACCAACTATCAAACCTGCTGAGGCTGAGAAAAATCCAGAAGCACCAGAGAGTAATGGACAATGGAACAAGGCCTAACACAGGGAGCACCTGACGCTCCTCAGCTCTGTAAACACTTTTCCCCACTCCTTCCAGACAAAAATTTCCATCTTTTTATTCTACAGCTACAGTCCACCCAAGAATGGGCAGCTATGTTATTGCAAATGCCTTTATGATTAATTACTGCTCTAATAATAAATCTTCAGAACTTTAAAAGGCCACAGCTCCTACATTATGAGAAAAGTACCAGAACTGTAAAATTCTTGATTTCTAAAACCTTTAACATCGTAACTCAAGGCTGGAATGAAAGACTTCTGTTCTACATGGTACAGAAGCCAAATATACAGGCTGTCTTCCTCTTCAGAAGGTTTTGTTGCCACCTATTTTGCATCAACTTCTTTCCCTCCCCATGCACATAATGGCTAGTGACCTAGGTCACTAGCATTCTAGTGCCAAATCACTGATAATCTTACTGAGGGGAGATTTCTCCTGCAACAGCCTGAATAATACCCTGTTCCCACACCTGTCTCTACCACTGGCTGCTCTAGGAGCTTACAGAGTACACAGATTATAGGGTGAACTCACAAAAACGGATCTGAACATATGCCATCCAAACCTCCCAATCCCCACCAAATGCTTTTTCAACAACAAGAAGAGCTTCCGCTCTCTGATCTGTGGAAGAATCATTCACAGTGATAAAATGCAGAGATCTTAATGGGCTTTTGTTTGCTTGGGTGTTTTTTAACATTGAGAGTCACACACAGGATAAATTCCTTACTCTGTACTTTGTAAAGGCACAACAGCAAATACCACTCTCTATCCCTGTGCCTACAAATTGCCTTGAAATATTTCAATTTTCATTCTGACTTCACATACTGCAGATCTTGTTAACTTTGTTTTTGTTAATGGACACTGGACTGTGATGTTCCCAAGAAGTTACATCCAAGGACCTCCTTAATGGGACCAAAAACCTCAGCCACACTACCCAGATGGCATTTAACCCCATCTTTTAGCCAGTGCATGAGCTGAAGAGTACATGCTGCCATTACATTTCAGAAACCTTTTCTTTCCACATGGCCACCAGCAGGATCAGAGAAGGGTTTAGTCTTGCCTCTCTCAAGTTTTACAGGAGCACAAGGCAGCCAGCTGAGTGATTGCTGGAACACTTAAAAGGCATCTGGAAAAACGACAAGTTCTATCAGCCAACTGCAGATCAGGAAAGCATGAGCACAACAGTTGTATCCTGAGTTTCAAACATAGGAGGACAGCAAGCAGCTGATGCCAATTCACATTCAGCATTTCTCCTTGAAGCAGCAAACCCACCCCTGCACTAATTGAATGCAATGAGGGTGCCATCTGGGCTTGGCACACAAGCTGCCATGGTAACTACAAAATAATGAGCTAAATGCATTCTGAAGCCACTGAGCCGAATCACTATTTCCTGTGTCATGGAGATGATCTTATCGCTTTATGCAGGAAGGTTGGTATGCACATCACTCTGCACCAGTTTTAGCCCCTTTTCTTTTCTCCAGAGGAATCTTGTAAAAGCTTAAAAGAAAAAAGTTCCTCTATTTGACAATGCAGGAAACACCGAACATCAGAGAGGAGAGCAAGAATTGTAGAATCTAGAATTGTCACTTCTCATACTTAGTGCCAAAAGGCCAAAATCCTTTAATACGTGATGCTAACAAACTCCATACAATGTCTAAGTTACCTCCATGCAATTCAGATTTTACTGTTTTAAGATCTCTGTTCAGAAGAGAATTCACTTCTTTAACCTAAATGCCTAAACTCCATTTTCTAGCCACAGAAAGCTTGAAAGACTCAAATTTATGGTATAAAACATGTTGCAGTTATTTTTCATAATGGAGACACAGGAATTCTAAGTAACCTCTCACTCCAGAAGCCTTTTAAAAAATCTCCTTAAGATTTAGTTATGATTTTACATCTGTGATGAAAACACTCAGCTAAGATTCACGCTGATGGAAACAGTTCTCGATCCTTTCACACAATTATGTTAAAAAACCCCAAAACATACCCTTAATGTTTTTCCCAGAAAACAACTACTTGAACACTATCACTTTGATACCAAAATAACCAAGAAACCTACAGAATAAAGGAAAAAGTATTGCAGTAGCATACACTTAAACAGAAGCAAAACTATACACTCTTTGCACAAAATAATTACCAGAATGATCACCAATTGCTTATAGCAGTTCTTCCCATGCCAAAACTGTATGTGTTGTCACCACTGACTGCAATTTTCCCCAGCCATGTTCAAGTTTTTACATTGTCACCACCATTCTCCTGTCAGTTCAGAAGAGGTGACTTTGCCAATCTTTTACAAAGCAGTCAGACCTACTGATAAATCCAGCTGGAGCTCACTGGAGTGACAAATTCCCAGAGTCCCAACTGGCCCAGTCAAGACTCAAATGAGTGCTGAGTGTGGAAGTCTCTCCCAGCAGAAGTCACAGCCTGCCCAGTCAACCAAGAACCCCCTGCACCTTGAACAGCACTTACCATCCTGTCCACCTGGTTTGGTGTTGGCCCATGATTTGGCAACAGGAGCTGCTTCTGGAGGAGCAGGAACAGCAGGTTTTGGCTGTGTCTGCGGCACGTCTGGCTGTCTGCAACGGGAGGAAAAGCACTTGTCAATACAAGAGGGTGAGCACAGAAAAAGATCTTCAGGATCACTACTGCAAACAAGTGAATGAAATGAGGGAGCTGTGCAGCTGAAGAACCAACAACTACTTTTCTGCAGAAAAAGCATTTTCTTATGTAAAAGGAGTTGTTATAGTAACAGTCAAAAAATGGAATAAATTAGCTAATTCTTTCAAGAGTACATTTCCCAAAGAGGAAAGAATGAAAATGGCTGGGCAGAAAATGCAGTCAGGCATGAAGAGAATCATAACTTTTAATGTAGTCTACTGGACAATCAAAAAAACAATCAATCTACAACCACTAAAAAGGATAACTTGGAATAATGTTCTCTTGCATGGGGAGTTTATAATAGAGGAAAACATTTCAAGACTACCATGAACTGAGAGAAAGAAGGCAAACTTATGTCAGAAATTATGAAGTAAAAGGAACTGATAAGGGAAACTAAAGACATCATGAAAAATTGTATGGGTACCATGAATTTGAGCCGAGAAGTCTTAAGAAATGGTCTCAGTTTCACCATCCATGGAGAGGCAGACATAAGCACTCATTTTATCCAGTGTAAAAAACCCAAGTAACACAAGACCCTTCTAGTCTGCAGATTCAGTGGTATTAGCTTCTTTCGACAAAAGCTATTTCTAAAATCTGCATATTCAGATAACTTAAGACCCAAAGCATTAGAATATACAAGTCAAGACCTCCAGCTCATTAGCAGTAACTTGTGATAAAATAGGAACTGAGGAGCAAATCCTGTAGCCTAGAATCACTTTATTATACCAGTCAAGAGATAACTAGTGCAGTATCATGTCAGTTAACACCGAAGAAACAGTTGCAAACACTTTAAATAAATCCTAAAGCAATCCTAAATTTCTGAGGCCTACCAGTGAGAAGTCAGTTCCACTTGGTTTCTGCAGCAATCAACCCAAAGCACTACACAGGAGTCTGAGAACTGACACAGCTGTAAATATAATGCTTCTCATAAGGATAACTGAATGCAATTTTCATTTATTTCCAGAGAAAATGGTAACTTTTTATAATCTCTTTTTTTCCTGTTTCCACCTAGTTGTTTTTCCTTACAGCTGCACATTTTCTAAGCAGACTTTGGGGAAGTTGTAACTTACATGGCTGCGCTTTGTCACACACAAGTGAAACAAGGAACAAGACTGGGGAAAGAAACTATTCCTTCCATTTCTACCCTGGTTCAAAGCCAAGCCCACTTAGAGCTTTAGTTATCCAAGCACTGTCCTGTAGGTACGGGTATGGATGAAGGAAGGAACTCAGCTGAATTCATCACATCAGTACACATCAGGCTGCACTATCCAGGAAAAAGGGACTGAGGCAATGCCCACAGAACAAATGACAACTCAGGAAAACAGTAATAAAAATTAATTTTCATAATTCCGGGGAACAACTCACTCCTATGTGGCCTCTAAAACAGTGATACAAAAGAAAAAGCATTAAACTAAAGCAAGCTGTTATCAAGATGTTACCTTTACCCTCAACAGCTGTGAGAGGAACAATAAAACGTGAACTGCAGCATTTCAAACGTGTTCAAGTATCACAGAAATACAGCAGTAGCTACACACATGGTCTGAAGACTTGAACCAACAGGTTAGATGGTCCAGCTTTAGGAGAAATGACTCATGGTCTGACATACACACCTGTCCCTGTGACTGAATCCCTTCCCCCACTAGTTTCACTCGTATGCAGTCATCTAGGCCTTTATCAGAATAATACATATGAAAATACAAACAACTTCCAACTGCAGATAAGGGACAGCTACTTACTTAAACATAACATCAACTACTGAAATACACTTGTACCACACACAGCAGCCCATGGAAAGGCAGACAAAGATATAGACAACATGTGTTTTAGTCAACAAGCTACTTACTTGCTCAAAACAGATTTACCTTCAAGCACACAAAGATGCTGTTGAAGCACCACACACAACACAGGGCAGAAGACTGTAAATTTATAGTTTCATAAGCTTAAAAAAAAAAGCTAAACACTACACTATATTCCTGAAGTCCAACAGCTTTTTAGAGAGATGTCAAAACCTGATATTTACATGTAGGAAAGCACACAAAGAGAAATAAAGGGACAGGAGGATGGGAAGGAAAACCTTTAAACCTCATCTCCTGCTTCCACAAATGCTCACAGCACACAGTCAGTGTCTCTGCCACTAAGCCGTTTTCAGAACAATTTGTATGATAAAGAATTAACACATCTTGCTTCTACTTATGTGGTAAGAATCACATCCTATTTTAAGCTTACATGGCAAGAAAACATGCCTTTAAATACTTTCCAATTAGAACCCCAAAAGTTTCAGTTTCTATTTTCTTTAGCTGTTACAAATGTAAAACCAATTGAGCAGATGAAACTACTGAGCATGGGAAATTTATACTATACACAGTAAACAGCAGTTCATCAACATTGCCACCACTTCTATTTTGTTTCTTTCACATACTGAAAGACTGTGAAACAGTGTAGAGTTTAAGACAGAAAAATTTTGTGAAGCCTTTAGAATTTATGCCATTCTAGCCAAAGAAATTAAAGTGCAAATACTAAGAACTATTAGGAAGATAAAGCAGAGATTCAAACAAATGCATACACACCAAGAGTTTTTGAGCTTTCTCTGCCATACATCAGCACAATTAAACATACTCTCATGAACTTGCAAGCTATTATTTAATTTAGCTGCTGTGCCCCTCAGGGTTCCCCCTAGAGTTCCCAGAGAACTTTGAGGGGATTACACTGATCTCACAATAATGTGCTATAATATTGCCTTTAAGCAGACATCAGAACTTACACCACAGGAAGCCACATCAAGTGGCTAAAGGAGATACTCTTCCCCTCATATGGAATTTTAAAGCATACTACTTTGAATTTAAGTGTGAGGGGCTTTTTGTGCATGTGTTGGTTGGTTCTCTTAGCTGTCTCTCTAATAGGAACACTCTTCCTCACAAAGATTAATACTGGTGCTCTTTAATCTCTAGTAGCTACCTAGAAGACAGTTAAGTCTAGCCAATTCCCTTCCAGGCCCTGCCCATCTCTAGCTTTGGGAAAAGTTGAGAGAAATGGCACAGCCAATCAAGCCAGAGCTCACTGATACTTACTTTTCTTCTTCGTGCTGTTCTTGTTTTGAAGCCCACCCTGTGCCGTCTTTAGGCACAATGTTCACATTGGGGTCATTGCCTTTGTTCTCTGCTTTGAGGCTGGGGAGGTTGGCTGGGGGAGGCATCCTCCTGGAAACAGCAACTTTTCCAAGACTCTGCAATCCATGGCGTGCGGCAACTGCATGCCAAAACAGAAAGGGCAAGTTAATGCTGACAGCAGTCAGTGTTTATGCAAAGCTAGTAAAAGTGTCTTGCAAGAAAGTCAGAAAAATCTAAGAGATTAAGAAATTCAAAATGCTTCATAATGTTGTTTTTAACAAAGGGAAATAGATGGTTTGGGATAACTTGAGTACTTCATGAACACTGAGTCATTATGTTTAGCCTATTCCAGAGACTAAAGAGGACATGTGGCCCCACCTTTATACACAAACACTCAGTGACAGAAAGCTAGAGGAGCCATTTAAAATATGATGTCCATGTCTTAATATCCTTCAATATTTTGTCAAACATAATTCTCTTGCTCCTTTGGGAGCTTAATGTACACTGATGAGTCCAGGAATACCCAGATGGGTCCAGCCCATTTCTTTTTTGCTGCAATTTCAGTTGGCAGACGTTGCCCTTGCAAAAACATTCCTCCAAACTGCATTTACTCCAGACCACAAGTGTGAAGCAGCAATATGAAGCTAATGCACCACACAGGACATTCAACCTACCAACTAATCAGCTCAGGTGAACAAGTACAAGTTACTGTCTTGGACAAGTTGTATCATTACAAACATATAAGATTCAACCTTTAAAAATAATACTGGCAGACTTTAACAAGGTTTGAACATACTTTCCCTCTTTTACCCTCAATTTAGGCAACTATGTCAAATTCAAAACCTTCAGGATGTCATTCCCCCTTGGTTCCTGATGCAAGGAATCATGCAAAAGCAGGCCCACAGTCACCTTATTTGAGATGTTAGTCTAAGCTTCACCCAGTGTTTGACTGTAAAACAGACAAAGCACCGGATGTGAAAGTGAGTGACTGCAGTGAAAGGCACAGCCAGGGAATGGTTTGTCATCTGCTGATAACAAATGGAGACTGCAGCTATAAAGCTTCTTATTTGCTTACATTCTGCATCCTACTAGACCGCAAACGCTGTGTCTCTCTGCACTGATACTCTTGTTCACAGCTCACCAGAAGCTATAATGAACACTGCTTGCCAGAATCCTTCACTTAACTGCTGGACCAAGCAGTTATAAAAAAGGCCTTGCTGTGGTTAAGTGCTCATATACTTTGCACTCTTAATTAGCACTGCAGTAATGATGAAACTGAAAGAACGCAACACTAAAGACAGTTTACTCACCTGTGGTTTTCTGAGTTTCCAGCGACTTTCCCTTGTAAGTATTAAACAGACTGAGTGTTGCATACTTCGTTTTTCCGTCCTTTGCTTTTGTGCTCTGGCCTGACTTTTCCGACATTTCGCTGGAAACTCATCGAGTCTGGTACCTCTCGTTCACTCCTCAAAATTTGCCTGCAAAGGAAAACAGCAGCAAAGTAAAGCAATTTGAATCTAAGCCAGTGCTTAAGTCAGAGTTCAGAGGACCAAAGTGGACAGCATATTTAACACCATTAGTGCTGTTTCATTTAAGCACAGTGCAGATGCCAAGGAATACATTAACTCCAGAAAACTTAACCTTATGTAACACTTGAAATTTCGAAGTGTTTCCATCTCTACAATTTCAACCTCACAAAATCAGGAGGGTCAGCATTTAACTAGCATCAAACACTGTATAAGCTGCATACCCTGTCCATGATTTCACTTAGAAAGAATAAAAACCCAACCCCAAACCCCACAAACACACACAGTTTCCAGCAGCAGCTGCTAGTTCCCTGCTGGGGAAGCTCAATGACTTCACCCACTCTTGAAGCCAAGTGCTGAGACACCATTAACTGCAGTACAGTATTTCTGGAATTTGCTTTTTTTCCAATTAAAATCATCATGAACACAAGCAGCCAGAGAAGCTAAACACACCGAGTCAGAACTTTTGTTTATCAAAACTAGGAACAGAGTATGATCAGACAGGGAGGGAGAGCCTCCCTTAAGTCAGGAGTTACAGTGTTCTTCCTGCAGCAGCAAATTACAGGGCTGTTAGAGCAGGTCATCCCTCTCCTCCCTCCTTCCCCCGAATTGATGGCCTTGAGAAGAACTCACTAGTTAACACTGATACTTCACTAGAAGTTCTTACAAGGAACTTGCCAGAGTTGCTGCTCATCACCAGGCAGGAACACAAGTGAGCATTCACTTCAACAGAACATTATTATACACTTTATACACTTGATTTATCTTAACACTCAAAAAACCTCCTACAGACTTTACAGTAACAAATTTTTATATATTTCATATGCATTCCAGAATAGTTGTGTATGCTCAGATCCTCTTGTGCTTCACTCTAAAAGCAGGCAGCAAGGTATCCTGCTCAAACCCTCTGGAGATCAACAAACTCCCATGTCAAACTCAGAGCTGCAGAAGAACTTCAAAAGGAACCTGATTCACATGCAAGGTGCTCGTGTACCAAGAGTCTGCAAGGATAAGCAGTCTAAAGAACAAAGCACTGACTCTGCCATGACAGACACTAAGCAATGATAAAAGATGATGAAAACTTCATTCATATTAGAATGATAACATTGCCATCCTCCTCTGCCTTCTACCCCAATTTACAAGCCATGAGTGATAAGATTAAGACAGCAAATAACCTTGGGATGGTTCAGCTTCAGCCTGACTTGGGCCAGGTGCTATTCCATCACAACCCATGGAGGCTGCTGCAGAGCAGACAGGCTTCAGCTCCATACAGGGTCACACACATGAATAAAAAGTGCCTTCATCCATCACAAAATGACAGCAACTCCCAGACGTTTTTTTCCAGATTGGTCAGCATTTGGCTATTTCAACAGCAAGTGTTACACCAACAGCCATGCTTAACATCATCCAAAAGCATGCAACAAGATAGAAGCAGGGTGAGCCCAGCCCACCAAGCACATCAGCTGAACAGAACACAGAGCTCAAATCTGGCTGTTAGATCATCCCTCATCTACCTGAAAAGCTACACTTTGAGACTTCAAGGTTTCACTGGAAGCTACAGCTCACTACTCAAACATCACTGCTGGTACAAAAACCACTGAACCTGATCCATGAATTCAGACAAGCTCATCTCTGGAGTTATCAGTCAAGCAGATTGCAAGCAACCACTCACTCTTCACAACAGCTCCAATACTTATTTGCAATTCAACACTTTGTCAGGCTCTGCCCATTAGTATTATTCATGGCCACACAGCTCCTTTCAGCTAGTCTGGAGACCTGAATCCAGGCAGACCAGTTTATCAAGCTGGAGTCTAGATCAGACATTAGGCTCTGCACTAGCCTCCTCTTCTATAAGGAAACTCAGTTTATCATAAGGTCTTCAGCAAAACATCTGTGAAACAACCTGTCAGATTCTTTCCCTTCAGTCATCCTGTTGTCTCTGCTCCCAGACTGTGTTTATGATGATGCAGAGTCCACCACAATCATTCTGGAGCATCAAACAGAGAAGGTACTGGGCAGGTAATTACCAGGAATGCAGGGTGCCAAACAAGCTTTCAGGTGTGCACATAACCGATTCAAGTAATACACTATCATCACTGCACTCACATTCGCTTTCAAGTGCAAACAGCTCATACACAGTCTTAATTTTCAGCCCAAGACTCATTACAGCCAAAGGTTTTGTAAACAAGAAGCAGCTTCACAATGGTGAATAATCCAGAAGCTGGCACACAAAACAAAAAAAACCTAAAAAGACAATTTGGGTCATTTCTTACCCCCAAATTCACAACAGCAGCAAAGCCCTAACAGATGCAGAGAGCAGAAAGCAGATTGAGGATGGTTTAAGATGTTTTGTCATGTTTTCTAAAGCCTACATCTCTGGTAGAGATGAAATATGGAAAATGTTAATCACAACTCTCTTCTTTGCAGACTAAGACAGACTTCATACTTGGCCAGATCTTAATTAGCACAATTGTTCTTTGCAGAACATTTCACAGCTTAAAGAACAGGAGACAGTGATTGTGTTCACCAATAATGCTTTTTTATGTTAAACATACAGAAATTAGTCTGCTCTGTACAGATGAGCTCTCTGCCTTTTAAACTATTACAATTCATACTGTTTGACAAGTTCTTCCAAACTTATACTACAAAGAAAGAGAATATTTTACAATGATTAAAACTGCACATTCCTAAGTAATCTGACCTGCAGAAAATAAATCAAGCACTACAAACAGTGTTCTTTTCAATTAGCAAGGTCAGTATATTCATATTTAACTAAATTTAGACCTGATGCTGATTCCTGAAGAAGAAATTCCTGAAAAATTAAGACTTCAGACCAGGTACTCAAGCCAGGGATGACAAATCCTTGCTCTGAAGAGCCCATGTGGCCCTCTATGAACATACCTGCCAAGTCACACATTAAACAAGCACCCAGGGCCATCCAACAACAGATACAAAGAGATCAGTGAATGGATTTGAGCCATATAAAATGTATTCAGCCCCAAGATCTTTGCCTTTTCATTCTAATTTTACTTGTACATGCTACATCCTATACCAGAGCATTGGAATCATTGCCTCTGTACAACCACCTACACCAGACACATTTAACTTGTGCACACAATACATTGGCAAGTACTAGATTCAGGAAGTGATTCCCAGTTTGCTCCAATGCTGACATAATTTATTATTATCAGCAAAGGTAACTGTTAGTCTGAACTCTCTTAGTCAAATTCTTAGAAGTGACGTGCTGCTGTGCACCAGGTTTGGACTTGCTGTCCTGTGAGTAAGAACATGAGGCAGCTGTGTACCTCTGAACACAGAAAAGATGTCAGAACCACTCACCAAAGTCAATAATTCCCATGATAGCAACAGGACAAGCAATAACAGCAGCTGGCAGAGTTCACTGCACTATTAAGAAACTTAAGCAAGTCAGCTGTTCATTTTGAATGATTACAGTTACTATTATGCATAACTACAGAAGGCACAAAGCTCCCGAAGTTCTGGAGCAAAGATTTCCTCTGACCTTCACTGTGCCCTAAAGACTTTAAGGTTAAAATTATTGCTGTAATTTCAGTACCAGACTATTTTTTCAGACTCCCAACTGGTTGGATTATTTAGATCCCACAGTGAACTTGGAAGCATGAGTATAGAAAATAGCACACTAAGTAGCTGCCATGAATTCTAGGTATCCAAGTCTCCATTAAGGAATATTTACTTGGACCCCCTGAGGTCCTTCCAGTTGGTACAAGAGCAAACTGAGTGCAGTATATCCCAGACTGCAGGATTCTATTTTTAAAATAATAATGAAACCCCACCAAACAAAAACCCCACGTATGTAACAGACGTTCTCCACTAAGTTCCTAGCTCTCCTGATAACTTCAGAATTCCCCAAAATGACTTGTTTAGAATTTAATGACAATTTAGTATGTTTGTAAATGCTGCACAGTGTTCCACTTGGGCAAACTGCAGATTAGGAAAGATTCAGAAAAAAATGTGATGTGACTAAACAAGGAAAGAATATTACATTATTTTGAGGTCACTTTTGAGGACTAGAGTGATAGAAGTTTAAAACATCTAACAACTTAGATCAGCAGTTCCTGCCTGGTTTCAGTCCTTCTCTCCCACCACGTCCACTGCAGCATTTTACAGTTTTATTACACACATGAAAGCAGACTTACATATATGCCAGAGCAGAACAGCACTGTGTCCAAGCTCTGACATTCATGCTTGATGTAGAAGCCCAGACAGGCATGGAAAGAGGAAGAGAAGTGTGTGAAGGCTCAGGCAGAAAGTTTGCTTCTTTATCCCCAGGGTTTTTTTGGCAGGGGCAGATCAACTCTTGCTATTACTGTAGGGAATAACTATAGTCTCTTTATTATAGTCTTCTGACCTAGATGTTTGTGTGTATGTCTGAGACACAGCATACACCATTCCTCACCTTTGGGAGGAAGATTACTACACTCTTTTTCAGACATCCCAGCCTAGACAACCAGACTACTCTCTCAGTCCATATTTTACACACTATTTTTAACCTCCTAGACAAAAGAAATCTTAATTTCTTACACAAGTGTAAGATGGCAAGACTTCTTCAGCAATATTACAGTTAGCTTTAACACAGTCCTATCATCTTAAATCCCCCACCCTATGCCTATTCAGCCTATAGGCACACATCAGTTAGGATAGGTAACCTGTGCATGAGCTTCCCAGGATTCTGAAGTCTTAAAAACATTAGGTAAATACTACAATAATCCCCACAATCCAACACAGCTAGGATATTTATCTAGTCCCTGTCACCTCTCCACTCCCAGAGCTGTATTTTGGTTAAATCTGGAATGGATGAAATGGAATGACTCAAGGCAAAACACACCACTCAAACCTGCTGAAGATTTCCCAGAACCTTCA